TATCTTAAAGGGTTTTTTTTTGTTTTTGTTTTTGTTTTTGTTTTTTTTACTTTTCCTATTTTTCTTGATTAGATTTAGTAAGTCATCTTTTAGCTCTCTTACTTTCATTATTTAGTTACCCTATTTGAAATTGCCCTAGCTCTGCAATTTTTTCTTAAGTGAAATGACGTAACCAATAGATAATATCTCAAGTTAGGGTATATGTTGATACTTACATATGTATGTGTGTGTGTATCTATCTATCTACACATCCATATAGATGGGATCTTGCTTTGTTTTCCAGGCTGGGATATAGTGGTGTGATCATGGGTCACTGCAACCACTAACTCCTAGCTTCAAGCAATCCTCCCAGCTCAGCTTCCCGAGTAGCTGGGACTATAGGTGCATGCCACCATGCCCAGCTAATTTTTTTTTCTTTTTTTTTTTTTAATTGTAGAAACAGTGTCCTTCTATATTGCCCAGGCTGGTCTCGAACTCCTGGGCACATGCAATCCTCCTGTCTCAGCCTCCCAAAATGTTGGGATTAAAGGTGTGAGCCACCACCTCTGCCCACGTTGGTATTTAATAGACGGAATACTGGATTTGTTTTGTTTTCTTTCAGTAGCCTTTCTTATCATGGACTATCACATTTTACTGAATGTCTTCAGCAATCACCTGTTTCTACTTCTGATTTCCAGTTGATAATTAGATTTCTTTATGCATCATTTGTGTTTTTTTCCCTAAATATATATGTATATTTGCAGCTTACATGCTGCCTTTTTTTCTCATTCAGACAACTTTAGGATTTTTTAAATTTTTATTACCAATATTTTCCTATTTAGTAGAGTCTGCTATTTATTGAAGATCTGAGGTAACACTCTGATTTATTTTCCAAATGATTTATTACCTAGAACTAGTTTCCATTCCCAATCACTAAGATATTTCACTAGTTTTACTTTTATAACCTTAGCAGTCCCCATTTATGTCACCTTTTATGTACTATCTCTATATTGTTTCTTTTTTCTTTTGAGACGGAGTCTCACTCTGTCGCCCAGGCTGGAAGGCAGTAGCGCGATCTCGGCTCACTGCAACCTCCGGCTCCCAGGTTCAAGCGATTCTCCTTCCTCAACCTCCCGAGTAGCTGGGATTACAGGCCTCTGCCACCACGCCTGGCTAATTTTTGTATTATTAGTAGAGACGGGATTTCGCCATATTGGCCAGGCTGGTCTCAAACTCCTGACCTCGGGCGATCCACCTGCCTCAGCCTCCCAAAGTGCTGGGATTACAGGCGTGAGCCACCACGCCCAGCTGAATTTCTTTCATACCCTTTAAGTAATATATGTAAGTAAATTTTTTGAATAGTTGTAGACTGTTACATATACTTGGTCAAGCAATGACATCCTATTTTTTTAAGAGAATGGGTATCTCTTTATCGTCCTTTTTAAAGACAAAGTCCATTTAATATTTTGTCTTCACATCACGAAAAATGTCTTTTAATCATTTAAATCAAATTAAAACAATGGAAGTTTGATAAGTGAATGAATTAGTTAATGAATAGGGGAATCTTTAAGATTTTATCTTCTGAAATTCATTTAAACAGGACCCTTTAAGATGTGGAGCTAATATACATTCTCTAGAAGTGGTTGCCATTGCATAGGTATAGTGTGTATATAGGAAAAGATATTTTTCTTTTCCTTTCCTTTCCTCTTTTCTTTTCTTATTTTTATCTCTTTTCTTTTCCCTTTCCCTTTTCCCTTCCCCTTCCCTTCGCCCGCCTACTTGCCTTTCTTCTCCTTTCCTTTTTTCTGCTTCTTTTCTCTCTTTTTTCTTTCTTCCTTTCCATTTATTTATTATTTTTAAAAATATGAAAAGAGATGAAGTCTCACTGTGTTGCCCAGGCTAGTCTTGAACTCCTGAATTCAAGCTGTCCTCCTGCCTCAGCTTCCCAAAATGTTGGGATTAGACATGAACTACGATACCTGGCCAGGACAAGATTCTTAAGAGGTATAAGGGGGCTGGGCACAGTGGCTCACGTCTGTAATCCCAGCACTTTGGGAGACCGGGGTAGGCGGATCACAAGGTCAGGAGATCGAGACCATCCTGGCTAACATGGTGAAACCTCATCTCTACTAAAACTACAAAAAATTAGCCAGCTGTGGTGCCACACACCTGTAGTCCCAGCTACTTGGGAGGCTGAGGCAGGAGAATTGCTTGAACGCAGGAGGCAGAGGTTGCAGTGAGCCAAGATCATGCCACTGCACTCCATCCAGTCTGAGCAACAGAGTGAGACTCCACCTCAAAAAAAAAAAAAAAAGAGGTATAAGGTAGCGTTCTGTATGGGTCTCTGCCCTTGCCTGCAAATACAGCATTTTCCTTTAAATGTTTATAGGAAAATGAAGATTTAGACTGGAATTTACTGAAACCAGATATTTATGCAACAATCATGGACTTCTTTGCATCTGGCTTACCCCTAGTTACTGAGGAAACACCTTCAGGAGAAGCAGGTAACATGTTGTATTGAGTAATTAAAATTTGCCCTTTTTTTAGACTTTTCTATTTTCCTCACATTTGCCTTGATTTTAGAAGTCATAGGAACTTAGAATTCTATCATTTAATATATTTAGCTCTGCAGATTTATATATCATTTTGAAAACTTGTGTATAAATTATCATTACTATATAAAACCAAAATTTTCAATTATAAAAATTTTCAAACATGCAGAAAATAGTATCATGCTCACCAATTTGCCCTCCACTCATATCTAACAAATGTTAATTAAGTTACAGAATGGGCTTTTGGGAAAAACAAAACAAATGTTATCCTTTGCCACAGTTGCTTTAGACTCATTTAAAATAAAATATTAAACATACAGTGTCAGATTCTAGAGCATAAAGTAAATAAAAAAAGAAACAGCTAAAACCACTATACCCCCATCCCTTTTCCCTTTCTAGTTTCAGAGATATGTGAAACTTGGTTTGTTTTATACTATACATGTAAGTCTCTGCAGGGAATATATAGTATTAGTTTTTGTTCTTAAGTTTTAAATATCTGTTTTTTTTTTTTTTAAGGGACAGACTCTTACTCTGTCACCCAGGTTGGAGTGCAGTGACGCGATCTCTGCTCACTGCAACCTCCACCTCCCAGGTTCAAGTGTTTCTCATGCCTCAGTCTCCCAAGTAGCTGGGATTACAGGTGTGCACCACCACATCCAGCTAATTTTTGTATTTTTAGTAGAGGTAGTTTCATCATGTTTGTCAGGCTGGTCTTGAACTCCTGACCTCAGGTGTTCTGCTGGACTCAACCTCTCAAAATGCTGGGATTATAGGCATGAACCACTGTGCCCAACCTTAAATATCTTGCGTTATACTTTCTAATTGCCTTTTTTACTAAGTATGATATTTTTGAAATATATCCATTTCAAAAAATATAGTTCTAGTTTACTCATCATACGTGCTGGATAGTATTTCATTATAGGAATAAGGTATAGTTAATTTGTTCCTTTATGTTCAAGTAAAGTTTTGTACTAATTTTTTATTGAAAACATTGCTATAGTGGGCATCCTTATGGAAGTCTGTTTGTGAATATGTGGAGAGCTTCTTTATTTGTTTGTTTGTTTGTTTATTTTTATTTATTTTTGGAGATGGAGTCTTGCTCTGTTGCCCAGGCTGGAGTGCAGTGGCATGATCTCAGCTCACTGCAACCTCTGCCTCCCGGGTTCAAGCGATTCTCCTGCCTCAGCCTCCCAAGTAGCTGGTATTACAGGCGCCCACCACTATGTCTGGCTAATTTTTGTATTTTTAGTAGAGACAGAGTTTCACCATGTTGGCCAGGCTGGTCTCGAACTCTGGACCTCGTAATTCACCTGCCTCGGCCTCCCAAAGTGCTGGGATTACAGGCATGAGCCACTGCACCCGGCCTTATTTTTATTTATTTTTGAGACAGAGTCTTGCTCCGTCATCCAGACTGGAGTGCAGTGGCATGATCTCAGCTCATTGCAGCCTCCGCGTCCCAGGTTCAAGCGATTCTCCTGCCTTAGCCTCCTGAGTGTCTGGGATTACAGGCATGCACCTTCACGCCCAGCTAATTTTTGTATTTTTAGTAGAGATGGGGTTTTGCCACGTTGGCCAGGCTGATCCCAAACTCCTGACCTCAGGTGGATCCACCCGCCTTGACCTTGCAAAGTACTGGGATTACAGGCATGAGCCACCGTGCCTGGCCGAGAGCTTCTTTAGGCTATGTTCCTAAAAGTGGAACTGCTATATCATAAGTTGATCTAATTAAGTGCACATCAGCAGTATATTGTAAGAATTTCAATGTTCTTACATCTTTTATCTTTGTCATCATTTAGTGTCTCTTTTTCTTTTTCTTTCTTTTTTTTAACCTGTATGTTGGGTATACAATGGTACCTTGTTTTTTTTGTTGTTGTTGTTGTTTTTGTTTTTGTTTTGTTTTGAGATGGAGTTTCACTCTTGTTGCCCAGGCTGGAGTGCTGCAATGGCACGATCTCGGCTCACCACAACCTCCACTTCCCGGGTTCAAGCGATTCTCCTGCCTCAGCCTCCCGAATAGCTGGGATTACAGGTACCTGCCACCATGCGCAACTAATTTTTCTATTTTTGGCAGAGACGGGGTTTCACCATGTTGGCCAGGCTGGTCTCGAACTCCTGACCTTGTGATCCATTTGCCTCAGCCTCCCAAAGTGCTGGGATTACAGGCATGAGCCACTGCGCCTAGCCAGTATCTTGTTTTAATTGCATTTTCTTGATTAATACTGAGTGTGAAGAGTTTCATATGTTTATTGGCCATTTACTTTTCTTGTCAGTAAATTTTCTATTTTTATCTTTTCTACTTAAAATTGAGTCACGTGTCTTTTTATTTTTTGGAGACAGTGACCTGCTGTGTCACCCAAGGTGGAGTGCAGTGGCATGATCATGGCTCACTACATCCTCAGCTTCCCAGGCTTAAGCAATCCTCCTGCCTCCATCTCTCAAGTAGCTGGGATTATAGGCTCCTGCCACATGCCTGTTTAATGTTTTTATTTTTAAAATTTTTTGGCCAGGCATGGTGGCTCACGTCTGTAATCGCAGCACTTTGGGAGGCCGAGGTGGGCGGATCTTGAGGTCAGGAGTTCGAGGCAAGCTTGACCAACATGGTGAAACCCCATCTCTACTAAAAATACAAAAAAAAATTAGCCAGGCGTGGTGGCGGGCGCCTGTAGTCCCAGCTTCTAGGGAGGCTGAGGCAGGAGAATCGCTTGAACTCGGGAGGCAGAGGTTGCAGTGAGCTGAGATCGCACCACTGCACTCCAGCCTGGTGACAGAGCAAGACTCCGTCCCAAAAAAAAAAAAAAATTTTTCTTTTTGTAGAGATGAGATCTTGTTATGTTGCCCAGGCTGGTCTCAAATTCCTGGCCTCAAGTGATCCTCCTGCCTCAGCATTCCAAAGTACTGAGATTATAAACATGAACAACCGCCACCTGGCCCATATGTATTTTTAATATTTATTTAAGCAGGTTTTTAAAAAATATTCTGGGCTGGATACCATGCCCCACACCTGTGATCTTAGCACTTGGGGAAGTGAAGGCGGCAGATTGTGAGCTCAGAAACTTGAGACTAGCCTGGGCAGTGTGGCGAAACCCTGTCTTTACAAAAAAACACAAAAATTAGCTGGGCATGGTGATGCGTGCATGTAGTCCCTCCTGCTTGACAAGCTGAGGTGGGAAGATTGCTTGAGTCCAGGAGGCTGAGGCTGCAGTGAGCCATGTTCACGCCAGTACACTCCATCTTGGTTGATAGAACTAGGCCACATCTCTTAAAAAAAAAAAAAAAGGTCTCATTCTCTCTGTATATATATAAATATTCTGAATATTAATTCTTCGTTAGGTATTTTCTTAGCAAATGATATCTTCCTAACTGTGACTTAACTTTTCATTTTGTTTATGATGTCTTTTGTCATACAGAAAATTTTCATTTTAATGTGGTTACATTTGTTCATCTTTTTCCTTTGTGGTTTGTGCCTTTTGTACCTTGTTTTAGTAAGTTATTTAGTGTGAAGCACTTGGAAGAGTGACTATACATAAAGCTCCATAAGTATTTGCTGATACTGTTGTATTTGTTGTTGATGAAGTTTTTCCTTTATCACAAAGATATTGTCATATGTGTATGTATTTTTGTTTTTTAAAGTTTTATTTTTTACACCTACATATTTAATCACTGTGGGATTTGTTTTTCTGTATAGTTTAAAATATAATTTCATCTTTTTCTACATAGTTAATCAAGTATCCCAGTCTTTCCTCATGAATTTATAATATTATACATGGGTTTTTTTCTAAGATGTTTTTTGTCCCTGTGGTCTTTTTGCCCCTCTTCCTGTTTTAATAACATACAGAGTTTTAATTACAGTATCTCTGTAACAATTAGCATAGTATATGAAAATATCTGGAAAAAAAAAAGTTCCTCAATTAAAAAAACTTTCTGGTGGTCTGGTCACTTTATTCTTCCTTGTAAATTTATTGATCGTCTTGTAAAGTCTCTGAAAAACCATGTCAAGAGCTTGGTTGAAGTTGCATTAAATTTATAGATTAAATTTGGGAGAATTAACATTTCTTCAACATTGATATTTTTTCATCCCCAAATTTTCCTATTTACTTGAGACTTACGTTCTTTTCTTGGTATGAGCTCATGTTAGTTCTAGGTACCATATAGGTTTTGTTGTCATAAAGGTTCTTATTTTGTTTAGTAAGCACTTAGATATACTGATTACGATATTTTAGGCACAATTCTAAGCACTTTACAAGTATAAACTCACTTAATTCTTAAAATAACCTTATCAGATAGGAATTGTTACCACATTTAACACATGAGAAAACTGAGGCATTGAATGGTTGAGTAATTTGCTCAAGGTCACACAGGTACTAAGTGGCAGAGATAGATACAAACTTTGGGCAATCTGGCTCGAGTGTTAATGCTTTTAACCACTCTATCATGCTGCCTGTATCTGCTTTTTGGTTTTTTTTTGAGACAGGGTCTTGCTTTGTTGCCCAGGCTGGAGAGCGATGGTGTGATCTTGGCTCACTGCAACCTCTGCCTCCCAGATTCAAGCAATTCTCCTGCCTCAGCCTCCTGAGCAGTTGGGATTACAGGCGCCCACCACCACGCCTGACTGATTTTTGTATTTTTAGTAGAGATGGGGTTTTGCCATGTTGGCCAGGCTGCTCTTGAACTCCTGTCCTCAGGTGATCCGCCTGCCTTGGCCTGCCGAAGTGCTGGGATTATGGGCATGAACCACCTCACTCGGCCCTGTATGTTTTAAAATAATGTTTTCTAATTTGGGGTGTTGGAGATAGGAATACTGTTGATTTTTGTATATTGGTCTTATATCTGTCAAGGTTAGCACTCATTAGTTCTAGTAGTTCATCAATGTTAATAAGCATTGACTACAAAAACATTTATATGTGCATACACACATATATACACTGCTATAGTTTCTACGTTTGTCCCCTCCAAATCTCATGCCAAAATTTGATCCCCAGTGTTGGAGGTGGAGTCTAATGGGAGGTGAGTGGGTCATGGAGATGGATCCCTCAATAGTAGATGAATGCCCTCTGGAAAAGCCGGGGGTAGGAGGGGAGGGGAGTGAGTTCTTACTCTATTACTTCTTTTGAGAGCTGAGTGCTAAGACGAGTCCCACTAACACCATCTCCTTCCTGTCTCACCATGTGATCTCTGCATGGGCCAGCTCCCCTTCTTCTTCCATGAGGGGAAGCAGCTTGAGGCCCTCACCAGATGCCAAGTCTTCAACTTTTCTAGACATCAGAATCAACCAAATAAACATTTTTTTCTTTATAAATTACACAGTCTCAGGTATTCCTTTATAGCAACACTAAGTAGACTATGACATGCAGAAACATTTGTATAATTATCTTTAGGTGATACAGGTATATTTTTAGATATATATCTTAAGAGTCTTAGAGATACGCACAAGGCAACATGTAGAAACTTGCTCACTGAAATATTTTTTAACTATACCAGCAGTTAAAAGGAATGACTAGATTGGGAGATACCAACATAGAAACATAAAAAAGAAAATATTAAGTGAAAAAGGAAAATTCAAATGTATGTACATTTATAAATGTACCATTTATGAAAATTTTTAGTACTACATGAAACAGTTACAAGTGTTCTTTATGGATCCATATGTAAACCTTATAACTTTTTTAGAGTAATTTGACTATATCTACTAACATTAAAAATGCACAAGCTAGGCCAGGCCTGGTGGCTCACGCCTGTAATCCCAGCACTTTGGGAGGCCAAGGCGGGTGGATCACCTGAGGTCAGGAGTTCGAGACCAGCCTGGTCAACATTGTGTAACCCCCTAAAATTACAAAAAATTAGCCAGGTGTGGTAGCAGGTACCTGTAATCCTGACTACTTAGGAGGCTGAGGCAGGGGAATTGCTTGAACCTGTGAGGCCGAGGTTGCATTGAGCTGAGGTTTTGCCATTGTACTCTAGCCTGGGCAAAAAGAGTGAAACTCTGTCAAAAAAAAAAAAAAAAAAAAAAAACTGTTTACCCAAATATCCCACTAGTAGGAATTTATCTCATAAATATAATTGCAAAAGTACGCTGATGTCTCTCTCTCTCTCTCTCTCTCTCTCTGTGTGTGTGTGTGTGTGTGTGTGTGTGTGTGTATATGTTTTTCTCTCTCTGTGTCTCTCTCTCTCTCTCTCTCTCTCTCTCTCTGTGTGTGTGTGTGTGTGTGTGTGTGTGTGTGTATATATATATATTTTTTTTTTTTGAGATGGAGTTTCACTCTTTCACCTAGGCTGGAGGGCAGTGGCGAGATCTCAGCTCACTGCAACCTCCAACTCCCAGGTTCAAGCCATTCTCCTGCCTCAGCCTCTGGAGTAGCTGGAATTACAGGCACCCGCAACCACTCCCGGCTAATTTTTGTATTTTTAGTAGAGACGGGATTTCACCATGTTGGCCAGGCTGGTCTTGAACTCCTGACCTCAAGTGATCTGCCCACCTTGGCCTCCCAAAGTGCTGGGATTACAGGTGTGAGCCACTGAGCCCGGCCTTTTGATATATATTTATATAAGCAAGTATGTTGCAGGATTGTTAGAAATAGCAGCAAACTGTATAAACAACTGAAATAATGAAGACACTGGCCAAAGACAAATCTATATAAAAGTTACTGTGTACCTATTTTATTGAGGCATATTTGTATATGCCAATGGGGAATGACCTTCAAGATATTTTACATAGAAAAGAGGAAGCTATAGAATAGTATGTATAGTATGATCTCATTTGTGTTAATTTATACATGTAAATGTAAATACATGCTGGGAAGATATAAACCTAACTCATGATAGTGATTGTCTATGGAAGGGATGGTGGGGAAGTGGAATTTAGGTTTACTGATCTAAGACAGTTTTAGCTTTTGTGCTTTTTTCCCCCAACAAATTTATTTATTTATTTATTTTTATTTATTTATTTTTTTGAGGTGGAGTCTCACTCTGTTGCCCTCACTGCAACTTCCACCTCCTGGGTTCAAGCAATTCTCCTGCCTCAGCCTCCCAAGTTGCTGGGATTACAGGCGTGTACCACCACGTCCAGCTAATTTTTGTATTTTTGGTAGAAACAGGGTTTCATCATGTTGGCCAGTCTGGTCTCGAATTCCTGACCTCAGGTGGTCTGCCTGCCTCAGCCTCCCAAAGTGCTGGGATTATAGGTGGGAACCACCTTTTGTGTGTTTTCTTTTCCTTTTACATTTTTAAATTTTTCTTTTCTTTCTTTCTTTTTTTTTTTTTTTTTGAGATAGAGTCTTGCTCTGTCAGCCAGGCTAGAATACAGTAGTGCAATCTTAGCTCACTGCAATCTCCGCCATCTGGGTTCAAGTGATTCTCGTGTCAGCCTCCCGAGTAGCTGGGATGACAAGCACCCACCACCACACCTGACTAATTTTTGTATTTTTAGTAAAGACAGGGTTTTGTCATATTGGCCAGGCTGGTCTGGAACTCCTGACCTCAAGTGATGTTCCTACTTTAGCCTCCCAAAGTGCTGGGATTACAGGCATAAGCCATGTTTTATTTCTTTTCTTTAAAAACTCAATATAATTTAATTTTAGGGGTTGCCAGAATCTAGTGTTTGTTATAATGTGATATGAAATCTCTACATTTTTGGTTTTCTCAAAGGCTAACTTTTTGCTCAGAAGATGTGTAGAACATTTCAGAGGCCTGGCATGGCTCATGCCTGTAATCTCAGTACTTTGGGGGACTGAGGCAGTAGGATCATTTGAGCCCAGGGGTTGAAGATCATCTTGGGAAACTGGATTAGTCTGCTCTCACACTGCTGATAAAGACATACCTGAGACTGGGTAATTTATAAAGGAAAGAGGTTTAATTGACTCACAGTTCAGCATAGCTGGGAGGCCTTAGGAAAGTTACAATCATGGCGGAAGGGGAAGCAAACATGTGAGTCTTCACGTGGTGGCAACAAGGAGAAGTGCCAAGCAAAAGGGAGAAAAGTTCCTTATAAAACCATCAGATCTCGTGAGAACTCACTCACTATCACGAGAACAGCATGAGGGTAACCATCCCCATGATTCAATTACCTCCCACCAGCTTCCTCCCACAACACATAGGGATTATGGGAACTACAGTTCAAGATGAGATTTGACTGGGGACACAGCCAAACCATATCAGCAACATGGCGAGACCCCATCTCTACAGAAAATAAAAAAAATTGCCTGGGTGTGGTGGCTCACACTTGTGGTCCCAGACTACTTGGGAGACTGAGGCAGGACTGCTTGAGCCCAGGAGGTTGAGGCTGCAGTGAGCTGTGATCACACCACTGCACTCCTGACAGGGCAACAGAGTGAAACGCTGTCTCAAGAAGAAAAAAAAAAAACATTTCAGAAATTTCCGGAAGGCTTACATCTATATTTAGTATGGTTGACATTTTGAAAACCAGTAAGTTGAGAAACTGACGATGTAACTTAACTTGCAAAGTAGGTGTGCCTTTTTGTCTCAAAGTTTCCATCAAAATTCAGTTTCTTTTTTCTGATACTTTCAATCCTTGAGAACAGAGAACATCTGCATATTTACTGGCTTAAAATTTCAAACCCTAACATCATTAATATACCAAGATGTTTTAGTGTACTCATCTTTATCACCAAATGTTGAGTTGATCAGTATTCCCTAATTTTTCTTCAGAGAATCACATGAATGATTTTCTCTTCAATTTCCCAAAATATATCTCCATACCAAGTTACATGTTCTATAGTTTTATGTTTTTAAGGAACCGTGTAGTTAAAATCATTCTGTTTTAATACTTGCATGGCTATAAAATTTCTACTCTTGATGTTTTTATATGTAATTATTTCTAGGATCTGAAGAAGATGATGAAGTTGTGGCAATGATTAAGGAATTGTTAGATACTAGAATACGGTATGTACTCCTCTCTCTACCCGAATTCAAGTGCTTTGGAGGCATTTTTCATTACAGCAATACAGTTTTAATTGGCCATGAGATTATAGTAGATTTTCAAAATAAGTGCAAATTAATGTAAACCGCAGCAGGTAACCATGACAATTGAATTTAAAGCCTGTATCTTCACTACATTTGCTCAAAATTTTAAAACATCCAATGTATTTAAACATATTCAATGAAGAAATGTATTCTACACAGTCTCAATTTAGATTCGATATTGTTATAATACCAAATTTCTTAAAAAGAAAAAAAAAAGACTGAATGTTTGGAAAGGTTGTGAAGAGAGAATGAGTACCTATTTTCAGTGTATTGCCCATACAGAATAAATTTAAATGAGTGGAGAACAGCAGGCTTCTACTTTTGCTTGTAGCAGACCAACAGTCATGCTGAGAACTCCCAGAAAAGCTGGATAAAGTACAGTAAAAAGAATTTGTTTGAAAGCATTAGATAGCTGCCAAAGCAAGCAAGATTTGAGGTGCCAAGATCCTGAAGAGAAGGGAAGCTCACTGAGTTTTCCCTTCAGGCATTTGCTGTACCTTGCTACATAGCTAGGGTAGAAGAAGCTGGGCAGAGGGCAGCTGCTAAGAATCGGAGAAACCATTGAGCTTTCAGAAAATTTGTTTAGATGGGAAGACAAAAATTAAAATTCTGGGTTATCAGTGAAATCTTGATTTCAAGGACCAAGATCCTAGAAAGTAGGGAAGTTAAGAAAAGTAAGCCTATAGTTGTTTTTTTTTTTTATACTTTAAGTTCTAGGGTACATGTGCACAACGTGCAGGTTTGTTACATATGTATACATGTGCCATGTTGGTGTGCTGCACCCATTAACTCGTCATTTACATTAGGTATATCTCCTAATGCTATCCCTTCCCCCTCCCCCAACCCCACAACAGGTGCCGGTGTGTGATGTTCCCCTTCCTGTGTCCAAGAGTTCTCATTGTTCAATTCCCACCTATGAGTGAGAACATGCGGTGTTTGGTTTTCTGTTCTTGAGATAGTTTTTTTTATTTTAAGACGGAGTCTCGCTCTGTTGCCCAGGCTGGAGTGCAATCTCAGTTCACTACAGCCTCGCCTCCCAGGTTCAGGCAGTTCTTCACATTCAGCCTCCTGAGTAGCTGGGGTTACAGGCACGTGCCACCACACCCAGCTAATTTTTGTATTTTTTGGAAGAGATGGGATTCTACCATGTTGGCCAGGCTGTTCTTGAACTCCTGACCTCGTGATCCACACACCTCAACCTCCCAAAGTGCTGGGATTACAGATGTGAGCCACAGCACCCAGCCAAGTAAGCCTATAGTTAGTAACAATGTATTCTTGAAAATTGTGGCTTGGCGCGGTGGCTCACGCCTGTAATCCCAGTACTTTGGGAGGCCAAGGCGGTTGGATCACCTAGGGTCAGGAGTTCAAGACCAGCCTGGCCAACATGTTGAAACCTCATCTCTACTAAAAATACAAAAACTAGCCAGGTGTAGTGGTGGGCATCTGTAATCCCAGCTACTATGGAGACTGAGGTAGGAGAATTGCTTGAACCCAGGAGGCAGAGGTTGTAGTCAGCCAAGATTGCGCCATTGCACTCCAGCCTGGGTGACGAGCAAAACTCCTTTTCAAAAAAAAAAATTGCTAAGATAGTAGTTATTAAGTTCTTGACACAAAAAACGGGTATGTGAGGTAATGTATAAGTTAATTAGCTTGATTTAGTCATTCCATGGTGTATACAGATTTTTTTTGAGACGGAGTCTTGCTCTGTCACCCAGGCTGGAGTGCTGCGTGATCTCGGCTGACTGCAACCTCTGCCTCCCAGGTACAAGTGATTCTCCTGCCTCAGCCTCCTGAGTAGCTGGGATTACAGGTATGTACCACCACACCCAGCTAATTTTTGTAGTTTTAGTAGAGACAGGATTTTGCCATGTTGTCCAGGATGGTCACGACCTCCTGATAGGTGATCTACCCTCCTCGGCATCCCAAAGTGCCGGGATTACAGGCATGGGCCACCGCACCCGGCCTGCATATTTCAAAACATCATGTTGTACGTGTAAATATCTATAATTTTTCTGAATTAAGAATAATTAATTGGAGGCCGGGCGCGATGGCTCATGCCTGTAATCCCAGCACTTTGGGAGGCCGAGGTGGGTGGATCCTGAGATCAGGTGATCGAGACAATCCTGGCTAACATGGCAAAACCCTGTCTCTACTAAAAATACAAGAAATTAGCTGGGCGTGGTGGTGGTTGCCTGTAGTCCCAGCTACTCGGGAGGCTGAGGCAGGAAAATGGTGTGAACCCGGGAGGCTGAGCTTTGCCAAGAGCGGAGAATCATGCTACGCACACCAGCCATGGGTTGACAGAGTGACCCACCAAAAAAAAAAAAAAAGAATAATTAATTGGCCGGGCAGGGTGCTCACCCTGTTAATCCCAGCATCGGAGCGAGGCAGGTGGATTCACCTGGGGTCCAAGGAGTCAATACCAAGCCCGCCAACATGGCAAATCTGGTGTTCTCTACTAAAAACATACAAAAATGAAGCCAGTGTGGCTGGCAACACTCCTATAAGTCTCAAAGCTTACTTGGGAGCGCCTGAGGCATGAGAACACTTGAACCTGGGAGGTGGAGGTGCAGTGAGCAAGATGGTGTCACTGTACTCCAGCCTGGGTGCAATACAAGTAAAACTCCTGTCCTCCAAAACAACAAAACAGAAACGAAAAAAACCCACAATAATAATACTTAAAAAAGAAAAGAAAAAGTAATCCCTAACACTCAGATTGTTCCCTTAAGGCAATTACTAATTGCTTAGCAGCATGTAAAGAGGCTAAAAGAAGTAAATTTATAAAAAAAAAAAAGTCTTTGAAGGCAGAGCAGACTTTTAACAGTCTTACGTGCTGGGGTGGGAACAAAAAATGGAGTTTAATACTCGTCAAGGAAGTTGGTCTTGAGAAACATCCAAGCCTGCTGGCGTGCGGTGTCCTCATGCCTGTAATCTGAGCATTTGGAGGCAAGTGGGGAAATCCCACTTGAGGTAAGAAAAGTGAAGACGCAGCCTGGCAACCATGTGAAACCCGTCTCTGATGAAAAATCCCAGCTACTCCGGTAGCGAGGCAGGCAGAAGGCTTGACGCAAGCCAAGCAGAGTCCCAGTCATCCCAAACGGATTGGGCCATTGTACTCTAAGCCTGGCAACAGCCGAGATGGTCCCTCAAAAAAAAAAAAAAAATCTTTCTCTAAGCCCCTTGGTTGATAGCTCCCCCGGAGATTACTCTTGAAATGAAGGCACATCAGAGGGTAATAGTAAGCTTACAACCTACTGTAGCCAGTAATTAAGTCAGTTAATTCCAGAGTAGCATCCTGTTACAAAACATAAGATTAATCCTTTTTAAATGTTGTTAGTTTGTAGATATCCATCACGCTTTCCCTGCCAGGCTGGAGTGCAGTAGCATGCCCCTGGCTCCTTGTATCCCCAGCCTTCCCAGGCTCTAAGTGATCCTCCACCTTGGCCCGTCTGAGAGCTGGAACTACAGCTATGTCACCATGCCCCAGTAATTTTTGTATTTTGTAGAGAATGGGGTTCCCCGTGTTCCCCAGGCGTCCTCAAACCCTGGACTCAGGTCCATCGCCCTCATCCCCCAAGATGCTGGGGATTAAGGATGGACCACAAGCAACCCCAACCAGGTGAATCCTTTCCATGGATAAATATAATCCGAGTCACTTCAATGTTCTACACAGTTTCATAATCAGTCCAGAATATTGCTAGGCCATATCTACTAACGAAACCAAGGGAAGTAAAAAAGCAGATTCATAGGTAACCTAGATATTGTAATTTTTTTTATCATGCATTGTTTTAAAACTATGAAATTAAAATAAAAAATACAAGATAAAAGAATTTCATTAAGAACGTGGAAATCCTATAAAAAAAAAGATTAGTGGTCGTGCAATGGCTCACGCCTGTATCCCCAGCACTTGTGAAGGGCCGGGTGGGGTGGACACGAGCGTCAGGAAATCGAGACCATCCTGGGCAACAACAGTGAAACCCCGTCTCCCACGTAAAAATACAAAAATTAGCCAGGTGCGTGGGTGGATGCCTGAGTCCCAGCTACTCAGGAGCCTGAGCCCAGGAGAATGTGTGACCTGGAGTGGAGCCTTGCCTAGTGAAGCCGAGAATCACGCCACAGACCTCCAGCCCTGGGTGACAGAGTGAGACCCCATCTCGAAAAAAAAAAAAAAGAAAAAGAATTAGTAACCCTGGAACTAAAATTATAATGACTGAACTTAAGAACTCATTAGATTAGGTTAACATTAGATTGGACATAGTTGAAGAGAAGATTAGTATACTGGAATTTAAGTCAGTAGAAAATATTCAGCCTGAAGCACAGGGAGAGAAGAGAATAGAAGATATAGGAAAGAAGCATAAGATGATGGGCATGGTGCTCATGCCTATAATCCCAGCACTTTGGGAGGCTGAGGTAGGAGGATTGCTTGAGCTCAGAAGTTAGAGACAACCCTGGCAACATAGTGAGACCTTGTCTCTACAAAAAATTAAAAAATTAGCTGGGTGTGGTGGTGTGCACCTGTAGTCTCAGCTGTTTGTGAGGCGGGAAGATTGCTTGAGCTGGGGAGGTTGAGGCTGCAGTGGACTGTGATCACACCATTGCACTCTGGTCAAGGAGACAGAACAAGACCCTGTCTCACCAAAAAAAAAAAAAAAAAAAAAATCAAACTTACGGAGGGGAGAAATAGAATAAAAAATACTTCATCAATCCAAAATGATATAAAATAGGAAACAGCAAATGGTAATATAAAGTCAAAAGTATTGGCATTTAAATGACAATGGTTTGATGTACAAAAATAAGATTGTCAAATTGGATGTGAAAAAACAAAACCAACTGTATACTGCTTAGAAGAAATGTAGGGGCCAGGCATGGTGGCTCATGCCTATAATCCTAGCATTTTGGGAGGCCGAGGTGGTAGATTGCTTGAGCCCAGGAATTTGAGACCAGCCTGGGCAACATAGTGAGACCCCATCTCTACAACAAAAGAGAAAGAGAAAGAAAGAGAGAGGGAGGAAGAAAGGAAGTAAGGAAGGAGGGAGGGAGGGAGGGGAAAAGAAAAGAGAAGAGAAAAGTAAAGAAATAGAATATTTGTATGACCTTCGGGTAGGCAATTTTTTTTCCCCCAATGGGACACAAGAAATCAGATAAAGACCGGGCGCGGTGGCTTACACCTGTAATACCAGCACTTTGAGAGGCCGACGCGAGTGGATCACCTGAGGTTGGGAGTTTGAGACCACCCTGACTAACATGGAGAAATCTTCTCTCTACTAAAAATATAAAAAATCAGCCAGGCATGGTGGTGGGCGCCTGTAATCCCAGCTACTCGGGAGGCTGAGGCAGGAGAATCTCTTGAACCCAGGAGGCGGAGGTTTTGGTGAGCTGAGGTTCGCACCATTGCACTCCAGCCTGGGCAACAAGAGCGAAACTCCATCTCAAAAAAAAAAAAAAAAAAAAAAATCAGATAAAAGTCATGGAAAATACATATAAATTGGACTACAGTAAAATTGTGACTCTCTCTTCATCCGAAGATGCCATTGGCTGGGCACAGTGGCTTATGCCTATAATTCCACCTACTTAAGAGGCTGAGGCAGGGGAAGCTTCCTTGAGTCTAGGAGTTTTAGGTAGCGTTGAGTGGGCTGTGATCATGCCACTGTATTCCAGCCTATGTGACAAAGCGAGATGGTTAAAAAGTGCCATTTGCAGTCAAAAGGCAAGGTACAGATTAGAAGATATTTACAGTGTTTATATGACAGAATATATAAATAACTTTTACAAATTGGTAAAAAAAAGACAATCAGAGACTGCAGCAAGTACTTCGCAACAGATAATCAAATAGCAGCTGGGCATGGTGGCTCACACCCGTAATCCCAGCACTTTGGGAGGCTTAGGTGAGCGGATCACTTGAGGTCAGGAGTTCAAGATCAGCCTGGCCAACATGGTAAGACCCCGTCTCTACTAAAAATACAAAAAAAATTAGCTGGGGGTATTGGTGCATGCCTGTAATCCCAGCTATCTGGGAAGCTGATGCAGGAGAATCACCTGTACCCCGGAGGCGGAGGTTGCAGTGTTGAGATCGTGCCACTGCACTCCAGCCTGGGCAACAGAGTGAGACTCTGTCTCTGAAAAAAAAAGGAAAAAAAATAAGTAGCCACTAAACATGAAAAAGTACTTAACCTCATTAGTTATTATGAATATTCAAACTACAATTAAATATTAGTACAAATCCAGTAGAATAGTTAAAACTATTAAGACTGACAACACCAGTTGTTGGTGAGGATGTGGAGCAACAGAAACTCTCATACACTGCTGGTGGAAATGTAAGTTTATATAACTGGAAAACTATATGGCAGTATTTATTAAATCACAACATATTCATACTCTTCATTCAGCAATTTCACTTTCAGGTATATTCCCAGTAGTAATATATATGCATACCAAAAGACATTTCGAAGAATCTTTATAACTGTACTATTTGTAAAAGCCAAAACCTAGTATTAACCTAAATGTCCATCAACAGTAGAATGGATAAATTCTGGTATATGTGCTTAATGGAATACTATGCAGCAGTGAGAGTAAATGACCTAGTACTATACTCAGCAACATAGATGAATCTCACAAAGAGCACAGGAAGCCAGATACAAAAGGGTAATTCTACGTGATTTATAAATAGAATTTATATTTGTAAATTATAAAGTTCAGAGACTGGCAAAACTCATCAGTGGTGATACGAATTAGGATAATGGCTGCATTTTGGTTGTGGGGAGTGATTGGAAGGAAGCCCAAAGGGGACTTCTGGAGGTGTGGTGTTTTTCTTGGTTTGGGTGGTTATAAATGTGTGTTCACTTTGTGAAACCTTAGTGAATTGTACATACAGGATTTAAGCATTTTTCTCTGTTAATGTTGTATTTCAATGAAAAGTTTACCTGAAAATTAAGCCAGCATATGACAGTCTCCCTTTACCTTCACTCAAAACAAGTGACTGAGTATGTTTTAGGTAATCACAATAATTATTAGGAAATTTGAAATGTTAAGTGCTTTAAAATATCGTTTTATTTAAAAAAGTTTTCTTTAGAGATGGGGTCTCGCTGTGTCACCCAGGCTGGGGTGCAGTGATTTGATAATAGCTCACTGCAGCTTCCAACTCCTGGGCTCAAGCAGTCTCCTACCTTGGCCTCTCAAATTGCTGCGATTATAGGTGTGAGCCACCATGCCCAGCCTTAAAAAGATATTAGTAAGCAAGATCAAATGTGGTAAGTGGAGGAAATATTTGTATGAGTGAATTTTGGTATTTTACCTGAGATTTTAAAAAATTAATTATAAATAAAACTTAGCCACAGTTACTATTCTCTATTATAAAAGTAGCTTTAACTTTGTGAATTTTACTAATATAAAATGTAAGCTCTGAGCTGTATTAAATTTTTTCAATGAAAACTTGTATTTTAAAGACTATGTCATAAATATTCTTTGACCTCACAGGCCAACTGTGCAGGAAGATGGAGGGGATGTAATCTACAAAGGCTTTGAAGATGGCATCGTACAGCTGAAACTCCAGGGTTCTTGTACTAGCTGTCCTAGTTCAATCATTACTCTGAAAAATGGAATTCAGAACATGCTGCAGTTTTATATTCCAGAGGTAGAAGGCGTAGAACAGGTATGCCAATATTATATGACAGGTCTAGATTTTTTTTCATTTTTTTCTTTTTCTTTGTAGATACAAAGGCTGGAAATAGATGTTAAGGCAAGTATTTGAAAAGAAATTCATGACCTAGCTTTTTCTTCAAGGGTTAGATTTTTGTGTTGCAATTTTTATCAGACTTGAAGTCTCTTATTTTAGAAGTAACTTTAGGCCGGGCACAGTGGCTCACACCTGTAATCCCAGCACTTTGGGAGGCTCAGGTGGGCGGATCACCTGAGGTAGGGAGTTCCAGACTAGCCTGACTAACGTGGAGAAAACCCTTTCTCTACTAAAAATACAAAATAAGCTGGGCGTGGTGGTGCATGCCTGTAATCCCAGCTACTCGGGAGGCTGAGGCAGGAGAATTTCTTGAACCCTGGAGGCAGAGGTTGTGGTGAGTCGAGATCACGCCATTGCACTCCAGCCTGGGCAACAAGAGCAAAACTCCATCTCAAAAAAAAAAGAAAAGAAAAAGAAGTAACTTTAGTGTTATGAGAACCTACTATGTGCCAGGCATTTTGCTCATTTCATCTTCTGGTAACACAGTGCATTAAGTCATTCCCATTTTGCACACAAGGCCACAGAGACTCAGAGGGCATATTGCTGCCCTGATTGCAGAAAAATTATGAAAAAGGTTTAACATGTAACACAGTGTTTTATAGATGAGATTTAGAAATCTTTAGTGGAAGAACTCTACTACATCATATTTACCTTTTTTTTTTTTTTTTTTTTTTTTGGTAGAGACAGTTTTGCTATGTTGCCCAAGCTGGTCTTGAATTCCTGGCCTCAGGTGATCCTCCCAAAATGCTGGGATTAAGGATTAACACAACTGGCCTAATCTACGTATTCTTAAATATGCAAGCAAGAAGCCTATTAGAAATCATAGTTTGTCATTATACTGAATAATACTGAATAGAATTCTAAAGCTTTATGTATAGCACAATATCAACATTTTTTTTTGTTTTTGCCAACATACCTAAGGAGTATAACACAGCACCTTGTCATCAGTAATAATGACTCTTAATACTGCAGTGATTCTCAACCAAAAAGCATGGCCTTATGGAGAGAGATTATCAAGGAGTGAAGGGATGTGTAGAAATTAGAAATTTCCAACCCACAGAATTTCAGGTAATTCATTCTTTTTTTTTTTTTTTTTTTTTTTTGGGGGACAGAATCTTGTTCTGTTGCCCAGGCTGGAGTGCAGTGACATGCTATCTCGGCTCACTACAACCTCCACCTCCCAGGTTGAAGCAGTTCCCATCCCTCAGCCTCATGAGTAGCTGGGATTACAGGCACATGCCACCATTTTTTGTATTTTGTATTTTAGTAGAGATGAGATTTCACCGTGTTGCCCAGGCTGGTTTTGAACTCCTGAGCTCAGGCAATTTGCCCGCCTCAGCCTCCCAGAGTGCTAGGATTACAGGCATGAGCCACCACGCCTGACCACCTCAGGTAATTCTGTGCCCTTAAGGGCTCCATTGGGAATCACTCATCCTTGGGTAGTATTAAAATTCATCTGTTCCACAGTGAGCAGGTCTATATAGACCTATCCCCAAAGTCTTAGGGAGCTGATGAGAGGCTGAAGAAAGAGGCTGAGAAATCCAGTTGGTCAGAAAGAAACATTTAATAGGGATTGAGGAACAGAAGCCATTTATCGGGCAGCTGCAAGATGATGGATCCCTGCATTGTTACCCGCTAGACTCAGGGCTTATATAGCCTAGGAGGAATGGGTACACATGCTTCAGAAGATATGTGTAGGACAATTGAAGTCAGCCCTTCTGGAAAAGGCACGAATGCTATTTGCCTAATAGCCTATAATTTGCTTAAAGGCAAGATTTATGCTAAGTATGTGTTGTTTAGGATAACATCAAGGTTATTTTTACCTAAAGGCAGAATTAAATAGAAATCTCAGAGGCATTCCTAGAACTGAGGTTAGTCAATGTGGCAGATTAGCATCCAAGATGGAGTTGCTTTAGCCTCCACACCATCGTTTTGGTCCAGTACATGCCATCTCCTCTTTGAAGTTTTTATCAATCCCCCACTTGGAATTAAGCTCTTTTTGACAGGTCCAAAGCTTGTGTTTTGGCTTTATATTTATGTGGCTTTCTGTATCTGTTTTAGCTTTATGTTTACGTGGAAGCTCCCTAAGAGACCTGAAATCATATCCAAGTCTTTGTATTCCTCTGCAACAACTAGCTGTGTGCCTTACAAATGTCCTATACATGTTTTGTATTAAGTATTTGGGAATATTATTCCAAATTAAGGAATAATTCTGCCTAAAATATGAGTTGGTTGACAAAATTTTTTGGATTGGGTATTGTTGAAATTGGTTGTAAAATATTAATTTCTTGCAAATAAATACCAATTTTTACTCAACCGAAAAGATACCCTATGAAAGAATTCTTTTTCTATTGATTGTCTCAGATCAGAGCCAGAATCTAGATTTTTTTTTTTTTTTTTTGAGACGTAGTTTCACTCTTGTTGCCCAGGTTGGAGTACAATGGCGTGATCTTGGCTCACTGCAGCCTCCACCTCCTGAGTTCAAATGATTCTCCTGCCTTAGCCTCCCCCGTAGCTGGAATTACAGGCACGCGCCACCATTTTCGTATTTTTACGAAATGGTTAATTTTCGTATTTTTAGTAGCCCGGCTAATTTTCGTATTTTTAGTAGCAACAGGGGTTTCCCCATGTTGACCAGGCTGGTCTTGAAGTCTTGACCTCAGGTGATGCGCCCACCTCAGCCTCCCAAAGTGCTGGGATTACAGGCGTGAACCACCATGCCTGGCCTAGATTTTTTTTTTTTAAAACCTTATTTTGTTCCATTATCATCTATATATGCCTTAAAAAATTACATTAGTTGATACTTTGGTGGATTGACTGAGAAACATTTTTATTCATTTGTCCAGGGTGGGGTGATGAATTGGCCTTCAGATTAGAAACTTGAATTGGCATCTAATTGTAGTAGGTGTGGCAAGGAGGAAAAAGCATTCTTAGGTTTATGTAACTTTTTCCTTCTCCAATGGAGTTAGTCTGTTATCTTAGTAATACATTAACTCATGGAAAGATAATAGTTATTGTAACATTTTCCTGAGGTTTAAAATGACCTTTTATCTGAGTAAGACTAAAATAATTAGTTTCTAATATGGTGGACTTTTTGTTTTGTTTTTTACTTCCTTGGGGATTAATTTTAATAAAAATAAATGCTTTTATAGTAACAATTTGGTATAGCTTCACAGAATATATTTAAGTAAATAAGATGGTTTTGAAAAAAAGAAAAAGTCAATTACGTTATTCTTATGGATAGAGAATACCAGTTAATTTTTTTTTTTTTTTTGGGAGTCCTCCGCTCTGTCACAGGCCTGGAGTGCAGTGGCATGATTTCGGCTCACCTGGCAGGTCTCCCTCCCCAGTTCCCCCATTCTCGCTTCCTCGTAGCCTCCCTAGTTAGCTTGGGACTATAGGGCGCCCGCTACCACGGCCCAGCTAGATTTGTTGCATT